ATCATGACCTGAGCCGAAGTCAGACGCTTAACCGTCTGAGCCACTCAGGTGCCCCTAACCTTGATTACCTCCTTAGCGGCTGCATCTTCAAATACAGTCACACTGGAGGTCGGGATTCCGACATGGGAGTTTCGTGATACGGGGTACAATTACTCAGTCTATAATGTTCACCACTGTAGTGCCAGCACCCGAACCTAGAAGATAGCCTGGCATGTGCTAGGCACTCAATAAATAGTTGCTGAATAAATCAACGAGTCGTGAAAGTCCGCTTTCCTCTAAGTTCATACAGACGCTGCCCCACGTCTGGCATTCCATCCTGCAGGTCAGGGTGTGTCCCTGTACATCCCCCAGTCGGCCATCAATGCCACGGTGGAGGAAGACATCTTGCTCTCGGTTGAGTACTCCTGCCATGGCGTCCCCACCATTGAATGGAAGTACACCTCCAACTGGGGCGCACAGAAGATCGTGGAGTGGAAGCCGGGCACTCAGGCCAACATCTCCCAGAGCCACAAGGACAGGCTCTGCACTTTCGACAACGGCTCCATCCAGCTCTTCAGCGTGGGCGTGAGGGACTCGGGCTACTACATCATCACGGTGACGGAGCGCTTGGGGAGCAGTCAGTTTGGCACCATCGTGCTGCACGTGTCGGGTAAGGCAGCCCCCCCGGGGCCTGGCACCTCTCTGAACTGCCCACGTGTGGGGCAGCGACTTCGTGGTATTAAGAGACATTATCTTCCCCTTGCCCTGCCCGCCCCGTAGAGATCCTCTACGAAGACCTCCATTTTGTGGCTGTCTTCCTTGCTTTGCTCGCTGCCGTGGCCGCGCTGTTAATCAGCCTCATGTGGGTTTGTAATAAGTGTGCGTATAAATTCCAGAGGAAGAGAAGACACAAACTCAAAGGTAATTCTCTGGGCCCTGTGGTGATCCATTCACGCTTTTATGGCTGGAGGTGGTTCTTGTTATCCTGGTCTCACCGAGAACCAACCCCCCCCGTGGCTGGCGGGCAACTGACCGGCTTGTCTTTTGCTTTGCAGAGAGCACCACTGAGGAGATTGAGCTGCAAGATGTGGAGTGTTAGCCAAGGCTGCGCCCAGTTACATTCCTACCTCAAGAGGAGAAGAGTGTTTTCCACAAAGGGTGCGAACGCCGCCAATCTCCCCTCCCAGCCTCCTGCCGCCCGGCCGTAGCCACACGGTCCCGAGGGGACTGCGGATGTTAGCGAAATTGACTCTGTGGACTCCAGGACTCTGGATTGGACAAACTCCGCTCTAGTACTTGGAAGAAGCTCAGGGAGCAGCGTGCTTGAGGCTTTGGGCCAGAGCCTCGCTCGGCTGCTGCTTTGCGGACCCATGCCAGTGGCCTCGTGCTGGTGGGGCCGCTTGCTAGCTACACTCGTCGCGGCCCTAGGGGTGGCCGCTGGAGGTGTCCCCGTGTCCGAGGCCAGAGTGGCCCCGGACCGAGCGTGCAGCCAGCATTGGACAGGCTCTCTGTGTTCCTTTCTGCTCTGCTGGTCCCTCCAACCTCTGCTGTGGGAGCTACTGTGAGAAAACCCAACGCTTTTAGATGATCTGCCTGCCATGCAAGGGGAGAGACTGGGCCCTAATGAGGTGCTTGGAGCAGACCCCGGGGCCTGGTTAGGGAGAGGGGCTCCGCTTGTTCCTGAGGGACCAGCGTCAGAAGCAAGGAATAGGGAGAATATGACCTCTCTCTTCTTCTCGTAGCCCAACATTAATTGGATTTTCCCTCCTCTGGCCCCTACTTAGGCCAGAGTGAGGAACACAGATGTTCATCTCCACTGTGGGCAGCAGCTGGCCTCCAAATGGCTTCCCGACAAGCCAGGTTCTGGTACCTATGAAAGCGAGCCTGCGTGGTGGGTGGTACAACTGTGCCCCTCGTCACCAACACTTTGTCTCAAGTCAGACCCTTGCTCCCTCCCAAGTGGGCTTAGGAACACTTGGCGCTCACCTACCTCACAGTCGGGGTATCAGGTGAAGCCCACAGTATGCACAGAGCTCACTGAGCAATTTCAGGAAAGCGGGAGGATTCTTCAAGGGTCTGGAAAGCCAAGCAGGCTACCGAGTGCTGTAAACTGATACACGCTCTGGTGTACCGGGGCTCCGCGGGGACCTGGGAACTAGAGCACAAGTGGCCTGGGCTCTTAGGCTCTCGGCTTGTCAGTCACCGTGTTTACTTGAAAGTTTCTCCACCCCGACTTCCATTTGGCAAGCTCTAAATAGGCATGAACTTGTTTTCCATTATCCTTTCTCTCTCCAACACTCTTAGCTACAGACCAAACGCACCAGCCCAATTAGTGGAGCATTCCCTTCTCTTCTCCTCTTTGTTTTTTGAAATGTTTGTTTTTGTGAGAGACGGGGGG